TATGCTTGAGCCCATTGTCATAGCCACTGTGTGAAGTCATCTTGTTGAGGGTCTTCCTCTTTTTCCCTGACCCTTTACTTTACCAAGCATGATATCCTTCTCCGAGGACTGATCCTTCCTGATAACATATCCGAAGTATGTGAGACATAGTCTGACGGTCTTTGCTTTTAGGGAGCATTCTGGTCGTACTTTTTCTAAGACAGATTTGTTCGTTCTTCCGGCAGTCCATGGTATCTTCAGTATTCTTTGCCAGCACCATAATTCAAAGACGTCAGTTCTTCTTCAGTCTTCCTTATTGATTGTCCAGCTTTCACATGCATATGAAGTGATTGAAAACACCATGGCTTGAGTCAGGCGCACCTTAGTCCTCAAAGTGACATCTTTGCTTTTGAACACTTTAAAGAGGTCTTTTGCAGCAAATTTGCCAAATGCAATACATCGTTTGATTTTTTGACTGCTGCTTCCTTGGGTGCTGATTGTGGATCCAAGTAAAATGAAATCCTTGACAACTTCAGTCTTTTCTCTGTTTATCATGATGTTGCTTATTGGTCCAGTTGTGAGGATTTTTGCTTTCTTTATGTTGAGGTGTAATCTGTAGTCTTTGATCTTTATCTGTAAGGGCTTCAAGTTCTCTTCACTTTCGGCAACCTCTACCTTACTAACTCAAAATTCTTCTGTCTCAAGGTGGGGTAGTAAATTAAAGCTCTATTATACTTAAAATGATGTTTTTCACATTATGCAAATAGACATGTCCCATAAAATTTTGTGCATAAGTCAGATTTTTGTAAACAGAAGCTTGCCATTTAAATTCGAAATATTATGAATCTTGGTGGAGTTTGGAGAGAGTGCAATAGAAAGAGCAAGAACTCTGGAGTCAGACCTGAATCCTACTCTGCCAGTATGACCTTGGATGAGTTAATCATTCTCACTTGGTGTCAGTTTCCTCATGAATAAAATGGGAATACAAATATTCCATGCTTGCTGTCTTGCTGGGTTGTTGTGGAAATTGGAGACAAAGTATGTAAAGCATCTGGCACATAACAAATTGTAGCAAAATATACGATTCTAGAGCTGAATGAAACCTTAGTCCCCTTCCAAGGCTAGCTTCACATCAAACCTTTTTGATGGTACACTTCATTGTATGTATATTTATTTATTCATCATGATGATGTACCACTGATGTATTCTAATGTATATTATAAAACATATCAAAAAAATTGGAAAAAAATTGTTTTTAAACCCCAGCCCTGGTGGTGCAGTGGTTAAAACGAAGAACTGCTATTGGTGGTTCAAAACCACCAGCGACTCCTCAGGAGAAAGATGTGGCAGTCTGCTTCCTTACGGCCTTGGAAACCCTGTGGGGTTGCTATGGATCAGAATCGACTTGACAGCAGTGGGTTTTTTTTTTTTTTGGTTACGTAAGTAGAAGGTCTAATATTTTATTTCTGCACCCAGTAGACTGGACATATAGGGAAGTAATGAAACTGTAGGATGGGGCTCCAGCAAGCACTGATGTTCCTCAGTTAGTATAAGACAACCTACTAGAAAGCACTGTGCAATGTGCTGTTTTCAGCAGAATGCCTTCCCCAGTAGCCATTCAAAACTTTTTCTTTAGGTGAAAACCTAACAGCCTGAAATTTAAAAAAGAAACAGTTTTTTTTAAAAATAAGTTTCAGGAGTTGTTTCTGGATTGTGCATCCTCTGTTGGAAGTAGTGACTGATTGCCTTTATCTCCTTTTATGTTTTAAGCTATTCCTTTAAATAGTTTATTCCTTCAGTTATAATCTCACACCTCCTCCCATTTCACTAATTCTTTTATCTACAGTTATTCTACCTTTGATAACTGTGTTCAACCCTACAATTTTCATGTTAGTATTTGACTACCTACAGTTTGATTTTCTGGCCCAATGTATAATGCAAACTTTATTGCATTTAATATTCATAATTTTCTTCTCATTCAAATATGCATGATACTTCATACTTTTTGTTCTATGTCTGTATATTCAGTGTACACTAACTCTAATTTTATTCTGTGTATTTTGGGGACTATAATAATGGGAATCTACCAAATCACACTTCTGTTTCCAGTTTACTTTTTCTAGTTGTAATGATAAAGTTTAAAAATTACTAGAGATTTACTTTGCCTGTAAGGTCAGTCACAGTGCCTGATTTCTTTAAAACACAAATATAATGAGGCTGAGTAATTCGTTTTAAAGAAAAAGCTGTAACTGAAAGAGAAGTCGTATTATAGGCGAAGTGTTAATGAATTCTTGATAACATTTGAAGTCTCTAGTAACACTTTGTCATAGTTCTTTTTTAAATTAAAAAAAATTGTATTGTGTGTGTGTATATATATATGTGTGTGTGTGTTTATATATATATAAAACAAAAATTTACCATTTTAACCATTTTAAGCATACAATTGAGTGGTATTAATTACATTCAACATGTTGTGCAACCATCACCACTATCTGTTCCCAAAGGTTTTTTTAATCACCCCAAACAGAAACTCAGTGCCTGTTAAGCAGTAACTCCCGCTCTCCTCCCCCCATAGTCCCTTTAAATTATTAATTTAAATGTGTTATTATCTTAAAGGCATCTTAAATGCTTTAAAAAGTAAGCCTCATACAATTTATATATATATGTAAAACATTTATTAAGCACTGAATATGTATTAAGCACCATCCTACATACTTTGCATAGATTATCTCATTTAATTGTCATAACAAATTAATGAATTGGGTACAAAATCACGACTAAAATACAGGCTTGTTTGACTCAAGGGCCACATAGTTATCCACAATGTTATGTTGCCTCTGATAATGAGTATCCATGGCTCCAAAATAATTACTTGGCATGCTTGGGGAAGAGAAAGTTTCATTTGTAATAATATCTTATTCTTGCATAATTTATTTCACATCCTGAATGTAAGGAGCAATCTTAATTTATTAAATTGTATCAAATATTTATAATCTTTTAAAGGAATTTAATATGCCTTACAGTAATGCATTGTCACTATGCAGTTATTGCATTTTTTTTCCGAATTCGCCAATTTTTTTTTTAATTTGATGGAGAACTAAATAGCAAACAATGTGGGACCAATTTCTGTAAGGTCTAGCTTACAAAGTAAACAGAGCTGACACAGAATTATAAGGCTGTTGCCAATGTCAGAAATAACATTAGAAAATTCATAACCTGCATTTAAAATACAAGCTTGCGACTTTTTGGAAAGATAAAATTTTGACTAACCCTTATTTATCCTGAGTCCAGTTCTTCTGGTTGTAAAATGTTAACCTATCACATAAAAGCATGTAGAGTCATTTTGACCATGCATCAAATCAGTTTATAGTAATTGAAAATTTATCAATCCTTATAATACAGTAAAATTAATATGACCTGATTGACATGACATGACATAACGTGTCACCCCACCATATAAATTTGTCAAAGATATAGTTTTTGGTGAAAATGTACGCAGCAAAAGATATGCCATTTCAACAATTTCTACAAGTATAATTCATTGATTTCTTTCAAGTTGTGCAACCATTCTCGCTATCCTTTTCCAAATATTCCACCACCATTAACATGAAATTACTGCCACTCTGAACTTCTCATCTAACCTTTCAAGTTGCTGTTGTCAGTTTAGGCCTACACCGATAGTTCTTTAGAAAAGCACAATGCTCAAGGCAGACAAACTTTACCAATTAAGCTAAACTATGGTTTGGTTCAAAGAAGATTTTAGAGAATAGTTTTGGTTTGAGGTTTAAGGTTTAAAGATTATCTCCAGGCAATAGTTTTGGGGTTTCATCCATCCTCACAGGCTTCAGAAAATCTGGATTCCATTGAGATTTTGAAAATCTGTTCCACATTTTTGCCCCTTTTTATCAGGACTTTTCAAAGACTTTTTTTCTATATATGTAAGTTAAGAAATTTCAAGCACTATGCAACAATTAAATTTACCATTTAATATATTTGTATTTTATATAGTATATATGGTCTATGCTTACTTCATAATAGATAGATAGCTGCCATTGAGTCATCTCTGACTTATGGCTTACCTTATGTATAGCAGAACAAAATGGTGCCCAGTCCTTCATCATCCTCATGATCACCTGCATGTTCAAGTCCATCATTGCAGTTTTTGTGCTAGTCCATCACACCGAGGGTCTTCCTCACCCTCTCTGGCCCTCTGCTTCACTAAATATGATCTCCTCTTCCCAGCAATTCATTCCTTTTGATGACATGTCTAAAGCAAGCGAGTCAGACAATGTTCTGTTGTGATCCGCAAGGGTTTCGTTGGCTAATTTTTGGACATAGATTGCCAAGCCCTTCTTGTAGTCTCTCTTAGTCTGGAAGCTGTGCTGAAATCTGTCCACCCTGGGTGACCCTGCCGGTACTTGAAATACAAGTGGCATAACTTCTAGCATCACAGCAACATGCAAGCCACCACAATAAGACAAACTGACAGACTGGTGGTGGTACTTCATAAAGATTAATTAAATATTGCTTGTGAAAATTCCTTTCTCAAATTTCAAAGCCTGATGTAGTCATAACTAATTGTTCATATATATGTATATATATTTCAATTATATTAATGTTTGGTACCTGTGACATATGGATGAGTCTATAAAAATATAAAATATTATATTCCCTCTTTTATGTTTTAATATTCTCTATTAATAGATATCATCTATTTACATAGATACCATTTAATTAAATTCTAGCCCAGAAAGTTATAATTAGCTGTATTATTTTAGAATTCTTTCTTAAAATTTTAGAATGCTTAATATAAATAATAGATTATCTAGTATTTAGATGATCTCTGGTGTCAAGATACATCTTTAAAATTGTCAGTGAGGAATTATTTTGTAACACATTATTGGTAACTCTAAATTGTGATTTATTTTCAGCTATTATTCTTAGATTTCAAAAAGTTATCTAGAAAGTTTTTAAACTGTATTTAGTAAAATTTTAAAAACAAAATGTTCTGTATGTTGCAGATATTGAAGCAGAAAAACATCATAAAAAGCAAAAAGAAAGAAATGTCACCACACAGGTAGATATTTTGCTAAATCATTTTATTTTTTCATTAGAAATTTAGGCTATGGGCATTTATTTATTTATAAATTTAGGCATTTATTCAGCATATTCAGAATTTCTTAATTTTTTACTATTGTTTTTGCTCTTTTTTTTAAAAAAATTATCAATATCATTCATTCACCAAACATTACTCAGTCCACTATGAGAGTCCACTTACTCTTATGAGCCATGGCCTGCCTAAAGTCCAAAATTTAGACAGAAAAGACGATCTGGCTTATAGAGTTACAGATGCTTACTAAACTTTTTTGATCTCATAATATTGTGTCATCTTATACTAGGGATTGAAGATTTTCAGCCTATACTCAGCTTAACACCCAGCATAATCCTGTAAACATGTGTCATTTCAAGTCACTCCTGTACTGAAAACCTTTAGTGGCTTCCCATCTCACTGATAGTAAAACCAAATTCACTGCAATGGTCTACCGATTCCACTCTGTGGCCTGGCCCTGCTCTTTGTCTCTCTGACATCATCTCCTACTCTGTCTCCCTTACTCACACAATTCTAGACACACTGGGCTCCTTGCTGTTCCACAGACACTCTAGACATGCTCTCATATTTCTGTTCTCTCTGCTTAGAATGTCCTTGTCCCAGATAGCCCCGTTGCTCCCTCCTTCATCTCCTTCAGATCTGTGCTCAGATGGCATTTTTTCAGATGGCTTCTTACCTGGCACTCTCTGTTTGCAGTCACTCTCTAAAATTGCAGACCATACCCCAACACTTTCAATCTCCCTGTCCTGCTGTAGTTTTCCTCTTAGAATGATCACTGTGTAACAACATACCATATGTTATGTCTGCTGTCACTCTTCCTGCTCTGGAACATAAGCTCCATGAGAGCAGGAGTTTTCATCTTTGTTCACTGCTCCTACCCCAGCAACTAGAACAGTGCCTGGCACATAGCAGGCACTCAGTAAATGTTTATTCAATTAATGACTAAATATTAAGTCCATATTTTAAAAGTCAATTTTGAAGAAAAATATTTATGTAAATCGAAAACTCCTCTCTATGTTGAAACATTTTTGAATCGCCTCCAACATTAGCTCTTCCCCATCACCATATTTACCACATTACATAATTAGTAGTGAGGTTATTATCTGCGGAAATAGGCATGACCTTGGCCTGCACCTCAAAAGTTTATCCCTGGGTAGGTGGAGGTTGAAGGGATGGTGATCTCATCAGATCATCCTGCTTTTTCTTGTGGGCTGTTAATATCTTGTGATACACAGTGCCTACCCAATAACACTTGAAAAATCCCTTTGGTATCAAGGAGATCCTTACTTCTTGAGGTCAAGGATGCTGCTCAGATCCATAAGTACCCCCACAATGTCCAGCACTAGTAGATGAAGTCCGTATAGTAAATATGGAAAAAGTCCCAGCTCTGCCCGTGTATATAGCCTAGACACAAAAGAAAACTATCAGCTATTTCAAGAGATCTCAAAATATTTGAGAGCAGCAAAAACATTGTCTGAAGACGCAAAAATAAGGGGGAAACAGGCCGAGTTAGCCTGTTTGTAAACTATCTCTCACCCAGTTCCCCTGAAGCATCTGCTTTCATAAATGTCCTTAGCACCAACCTTATAGAGCATAGGACCTAGAGGTGAAAAGACAAATGGCTATAATGTAAAGTTCCCTTACATCTACACTGTACTGTAGTCAGAATAAAATAACCTCAGTTCACAGAACTTTCCATATTGTTTCATAACTCCTTTGGAATGAATAAGATACTATCTGGCAAAAAAAACACCCTCCCCCCACCTCTACCTCCATTGTATACCTGGCAAATTCTGTTTATCTTCATAATTACCATGGGCATTATAATTTTTTAAAACACTAACCTCAGTAGAGCTGCTTTTGTTCTAATTTGTCTCTCTTTCTGGCTTTACACCTCTACAGTTCACAAAAGAATACTTTGTTCTCCACTCCCCCAATACACACTTTTAAAAAATGCACATATACACTTTAAAAAAAAAAAACTGTGCAAAGGCACTTTATCTTGTGTCAAGGATCTAATTTTTTCAGAAGCTCAGTGTAGTATTTCCTTCAGTATTAGAGAATGATGATGATCACAGAGGTAATAAATCCCTCACGTATCTAACGTACTTCCAGGGAGTAACCGAGGCTCCCTAAGGAGTAGTTATGATGCTGGAAGCTATGCCACAGGTATTTCAAATACCAGCAGGGTCACCCATGGTGGATGAGTTTCAGCAGAGCTTCCAGACTAAGACAGACTAGGAAGAAGAACCTGGCGATCTAATTCCAAAATTAGCCATGAAAACCCTATGGATCACAATAGAAAGTAGTCCGATGAAGTGCTGGAAGATGAGCCTCTGGGTTGGAAGGCATTCAGAATACAAAGTGGCCACAACAAGGGATTCAAACATACCAAAGATCCTGAAGATAGTGTAGGGCCTGTCACCATTTTGTTTTATTGTACATGGGATTGCCATTAATTGGAGCCAACTGAATGACAAACAGCAACAACAAGGGTGATTCAAGTATATGACTGAGGGGCATCGTGACAACCATACCACTAAGAGCAACAATTAAAACTTTGAGGAAAAAGTAGCCTAGCTCTCAGCATTGAGCAGTTTAACTGAGTGCTCAGGTCTGCTCTCTACTTCACCTAGATACATTATTGTTATATTGAAATTAACATCTTGTTCCAGTGTTCCAATAGATAGATTTGTTTTTATGCATTTTGATACCTTGACTTATATTCAGAGTTTATCATCAGAACCATGTCCTCACAGCTAAGTAAAACTTTAAATTTTATAAAACTGCTTCACATATACTATTATCTTCCTAACAACTGTGCAAAGAATGTTAAGTGGCTATTTAAGTAGTTAATTATTATCCTCATTTTGCAGATTAGAGTATGTAATAAATCCAGGCCCATTCATTCAACACAGCACCTGCAATGTGCCAAACACAGTTATTGGAATTTCCAAAAGTTCCAAATTTTTTTCACTTTATAAAACCTCTATTCAGTTTTGCCTAAACTTGATTGTGAGCTCCGAAAAGTATGAGAGTGTCTTTTCATCTGCTTTAGTGTAGTATTTGGTACCTGATAGATACAATAAGGAGCCCTGGTGGTGCACTAGTTAAGAGCTCGGCTGCTAACCAAAAGGTTGGCAGTACGAATCCACCAGCTGCTCCTTGAAACCCTATGGGGCAGCTCTACTCTGTGCTATAGGGTCACTATAAGCTGGAATCGACTCAACAGCATTGGGGTTGTTGTTGTTGTTGTTTTGGTTTAAATACAATAACATTTACAGATTTAATTAAATATGTTAACACTACTTATTCAACACTTAGTTATAAATGTGCGTATTCTCCATCTCCTGGACACTTATTTTCTTTCCAAGACTTATCTTGGGACCATACTTCTCCAAATGGTACCTTTACCTTCATTTTAACTGAAACCTAGTTGTCTCCTGAGGACTTCTTCTGCAGCCCTCCCAAGTACTTTCTACCTTACCCCACTTACACTGGTCCTGGATGGGATGGAAGGTATCTATTATGGATTGAATCATGTCCCCAAAAAATATGTGTTGTAAATCCTACAATCTATGCCTGTGGATCTGGGCTGAAAGCACAGAATTCCAGAAGGAGGTTTACCTGTGTTTTATTGACTATATAAAGGCATTCGACTGTGAGGATCATAACAAATTATAGATAACATTAAGAAGAATAGGAATTCCAGAACACTTAATTGTGTTCACGAGGATGAGGAACCTGTACACAGACCAAAAGGCATAGAACGAGAAGGCATACGTAGAAGAAGGGGATACTCCGTGGTTTAAAATCAGGAAAGGTGTGTGTCAGTATTGTATCCTCTCACCATACTTATTTAATCTGCATGCTGAGCAAATAATCCGAGAAGCTGGACTACATGCAGAAGAACGCGGCGTCAGGATTGGTGAAAGACTCATCAACAACCTGCCATATTAGATGACACAATCTTGCTTGCTAAAAGCAAAGAGGACTTGAAGCACTTACTGATGAAGATCAAAGACTGTAGCCTTCAGTATGGATTAGACCTCAACCTAAAGAAAGCAAAAATCCTCACAACTTGACGATAAGCAACATCATGATAAATGGAGAAAATATTGAAGTTGTCAAGGATTTCATTTTGCTTAGATCTGCAATCAACGCCCAAGGAAGCAGCAGTCAAGAAATCAAACAACGTATTGCATTGGGTAAATCTGCTGCAGAAGACCTCTTTAAAGTGTTAAAAAGTAAAAATGTCAGTTTGAGGACTAAGGTGAACCTGACCCAAGCTATGATATTTTCAATCACTTCATATGTATGTGAAAGCTGGACAATTAATAAGGAAAACTGAAGAAGAATTGATGCATTTGAATTAAAGTGTAGGCAAATAATATTGAATAAACGATGGACTGCCAGAAGAACAAACAAATCTGTCTTGAAGAAGTATAGTCAGAACATTCTTGGAACTAGGATGGCAAGACTTTGTCTCACATATTTTGGACATGTTAAGAAGAGGGACCAGTCCCTGGAGAAGGAAGGACATCATGCTTGATAAGGTAGAGGGTCAGTGGAAAAGAGGAAGACCCTCAAAAAGATGGAATGACACAGTGGCTGTGACAGTGGGCTCAAACATAGCAACGATTGTGAGGATGGCACAGACCGGGCAGTTTTTTGTTCTGTTGTACATAGGGTTGCTGTGAGTTGGAACCAACTGGACAGCACCTAACAACAACAACATGCCTGTCATTATAATTCCATTTGGAATGGGTTGTCTTTGTTATGTTAACGAGGCAGGATTTGTGTAGGGTGTAACTTGAGTCAATCTCTTTTGAGATATAAAAGAGATTAAACAAACAAGCTAGGAAGCAGAGATTGGGTAAAATAGATGCCACATGGAGAACTCCAAGGAACCAGGAATTAGAACCTGAAGAGTCAAGGACCTTCCTCCAGAGCCAACAGAGAGATAA